CACGCCCAGGCGCCGGTGTCATGCTTCACGAAGGTGCCCACTACGTCTGGGTGTCCTGCAGCCCGCGCGCGCGCGCCCCAAGGCGGCTGGCTTGGTGGGCCCGTGCCGCAGACGGCCCCTGTACTTCCAGGTCGCTGGGCACCTGCGGAAGTTGCCCGCAGTGCCCCCGCGGGTCCAAACCCGGACCTCCCCCGACGAGGCACTTTCGAGTTTCGGGGCCCGGACCTCTGGAGCGACTTTGACAATCCCGGGGCCCGAAGTTGCCTTCAGATGCCGAAAACACAAACAGCCATACTCCACGTTTCGAAATTTCTCAAACTTCTGAACGTCTAGGCCCCTGCCATCAGAAGTCTCACCCCCGGACCACTCTAGGGGTGCGCCCTGGCCAGAACTTCGAGGGGAACCCGCATGGCAACGAGAAGCCTCCCAGAGCCCCCCCGAGCACGAAACACGCGCCAATGCCTCGATCCCCGACGACGACGACGACGACGATGACGACGGTTGACACAGACGAGGATAGGCAACCGCAGATGAACCCGACCCCTGCAGGTCAAACTTTTGAAACGCCGGCTGGGGTTCAGAATTTGAGGGATGCCTGCGGCCAGGTGAACCTGAAGGGGCCCTGGGACACACAAATAAATACACACAAATGACAGGATTCGCTATATTTTCATATATTTTCTGGGTTTTTGTCTTCCCCTCCACTTCCCATATTTTCTTATATTTTCTGGGAATCGACGATTACTTGTGTCTGTGTGTTTTTCCCATCCTTAGAACCCCAGGGGCCAGGTGAAGGGAACGACCGAACAAGGATCGAGAACCCTATTGGTACAGATCCGCTCAGGGTCGAGGCCGCTGAGGATCTGCTTCGGAAAAGCTGCTTGGAATTATGCTCCCACATGCCCAGAGGCGGGAGCGCTTGCAGACAGCCCCGCCGGGACGGGAGGCGAACCCCAGCGGGAGTGTCCGATACCCCAGCGCCGACCCGACCCGCAGGGCCGGCGTTCGCTCCTCCTCCTCCTCCTCCTCGAGAACGGGGGATTGTGGAGCCCCTCGGGGTCGAAGGCGCCAAAGCGAGGCTTTCGCACTGAGTTCGCGCGTCTATTTCAATGAGATATGCGTGCTCTGTGGCGGCCTCCTCTCTCCTCCTCCTCCTCCTCCTCCTCCTCCTCCTCCTCCTCCAAAAGGAACAATACCATTTTCGTTGTTTGGCCCCCTCCCCCCCCCCCAGGGGAAAAAAAAAAAAAAAAAAAAAAAAAATGGGCGGATCCGCCCTTTTTTTTTCTTTTTTTTTCGGGGGGGGGGGGGGGGGGGATGAAAATCCTCTCCTCCCTCCTCCTCCTCCTCCTCATCCTTCTCCTCCTCCTCCTCCTCCTCATCATCCTTCTCCTTTTTTTCTGGGGGGGGGACGCCAGGAGAAAAAAAAAAGGAATGCGACGTGGCCACATCTGCCCTTCCCCCTAGAAGGATTCCTATTGAACGCCCCCATAAGAAGGATTCACAGTGAAATCCTCGACAGAAGGGTTCCTATCGAAACCCTCCACTGAATGATTCCTACTGAAATCCTCCACATGTGGATTCCTACTGAAACCCTCCACTGAATGCTTCCTACTGGAATCCTCGAATGGCAATGGCAATGGCAATTGTAATGGTAATGGTAATGGTAATGGCAGTGGGAATGGTAATGGTACTGGTAATGGTTACGGTACTGATAGTGGTAACGGGGTAGCGAGGCAATGACAATGGCAACGGTAATGGTAATGGCAATGACAATGGCAATGGGAATGGCAATAACAATGGCAATGGTAATGGCCATGGCAATGGTAATGGTAAGGGTAAAGGTAAAGGTAGAGGTAAAGGTAATGGTAATGGTAATGGCAATTGCAGTGGTAATGATAATGGTAATGGTAATGGGAATGGGAGTGGGAATGGGAACGGCAACGGGAATGGAAATGATAGTGGTAGTGGTAATGGTAATGGCACTGGTAATGGCACTGGTAATGGGAATGGGAATCGTAATGGAATTGGGGATGGGAATGGGAATGAGAATGGGCATTCTAATGGTAATGGCAGTGGTAATGGTAATGGGAATGGGAATGGGAATGGAAACGGTACTGGCAATGGTAATGGTAGTGGCGAATGGCAATGGCAATGGCAATGGCAATGGTAATGGTAATGGTAATGGTAATGGTAATGGTGATGACAGAGGTAATGGTACTGGTAATGGTAATGGTAACGGTAATGGTAATGGTAACGGGGTAGCGATTGGCAATGGCAATGACAATGACAATGGCAACAATAATGGTAATGACAATGACAATTGGATTAGCAATGGCAATGGCAATGACAATGATAATGGCCATGGCAATGGCAACGGCAATGGTAAGTGTAATGGTAATGGCAATGGTAGTGGGAATGGGAACGGGAATGGGAATGTGAATGGGAATGGGAATGGGAACGGGAACGGGAATGGAAACGGTAGTGGTAGTGGTAACGGAAATGGGAATGATAAGGGTAAGGGTAAAGGTAATGGTAATGGTAATGGAAATGATAGTGGTAATGGTAATGGCTATGGGAATGGCAATGGCAATGGAAATGGTATTGGCAATGGTAATGGTAGCGGTTAATGGCAATGGCAATGGCAATGCGAATGGTAATGGTAATGACAGGGGTAATGCTAATGGTATTGGTAATGGTAACGGTAATGATAGTGGTAACGGGGTAGCGATTGACAATGGCAATGACAATGGCAAAGGTAATGGTAATGGCAATGGCAATGGCAATGGCAATGGCAATGGTAATGGCCATGGCAATGGCAATGGCAATGGCAATGGTAATGGTAATGGTAATGTGAATGGGAATGGGAATGTGAATGGGAACGGGAATGGGAATGGCAGTGGTAGTGGTAACGGAAATGGGAATGGTAAGGGTAAGGGTGCAGGTAAAGGTAGAGGTAATGGTAATGGTAATGGCAATGGCAGTTGTAATGGTAATGGTAATGGCATTGGGAATGGGAATGGGAATGGGAATGTGAATGGTAATGGTATTGGCAATGGTAATGGTAGTGGCGAATGGCAACGGCAATGGCAATGGTAATGGTAATGGTAGTGGCGAATGGCAATGGTAATGGTAGTGGCGAATGGCAATGGCAATGGCAATGGTAATGGTAATGGCAATGACAGAGGTAATGGTAATGGTACTGGGAATGGTAATGGTGACGGTAACGGTAATGGTAATGGTTATGGCAATGGTAACGGGGTAGCGACTGGCAATGGCAATGGCAACGGCGATGGCAATGGCAATGGTAATGGTAATGGCAATGGCAATGGCAATGGGAATGGCAACGGCAATGGCAATGGCAATAGCAATGGCCATGGCAATGGTAATGGTAATGGTCATGGCCATGGTAATGGTAATGGTAATGGGGATGGGAATGGGAATGGGAATCGTAGTGGTAATTGGAACGGGAACGGAAATGGAAATGGTAGTGGTAGTGGTAGTGATAATGGCAATGGTAATGGTAATGGAAATGGTACTGGTAACGGTAATGGCAATGGTGATGGGAATGGGGATTGTAATGGTGATGGCAGCGGTAATGGCAATGGCAATGGTAATGGTAATGGTAATGGCAATGGTGTTGGTAATGCTAATGGTAATGGCAATGGTAATGGTAGTGTCTAACGGTAATAGGAATGGTAATGGTAACGGTAATGGTAACGGGGTGGCGACTGGCAATGGCAAGACAATGGCAATGGCAACGGCACTGGTAATGGCAACGGCAATGGCAATGGGAATGGCAATGGCAATGGCAATGGCAATTGTAATGGCTATGGTAATGGTAATGGTAGTGGTAAAGGTGAAGGTAAAGATAAAGGTAGAGGTAATGGTAATGTGAATGGGAATGGGAATGGGGATGGGAATGGTAATGGTAATGGTAATGGTATTGGGAATGGGAATGGGAGTGGGAGAGATTGAGAGAGAGAGAGAGAGAGAAAGCGAGAGAGGAAATATCATAATAATGATGAGGAGCAACGTGAAAGATCGTAACAAATCGTTTGAAACCCACAGGGGCTCCACAATCCCCCGGCCTCTCCTCCTCCTCCTCCTCCTCTTCCTGCTCCTCCTCCTCCTCCTCCTCCTCCTCCTCCTCGCCGAGACGACGACCTCGACGGCCACCGCTGCCCACGGCGGCGACACCCACGGCGGCGGCGACGACGCCGACACCGACGACCTGCCAGAGATCCGATGTCTTGATTTTTCCACATGGGGCCCCCAAAAGTCCCGACCCGTTCCCCAGGGCCGGCTTTTCACGGTGGGTCGCTTTACGACAGTCCCTGCGCTCGGCGAGGGCCCCCAGGAGCTGAAAATAGCCCAAGACCTCCCGCCGTGATTCTGTCACGACGCGAGCATGTTTGGGTCGGCTGCACGCAAAAGTGACCCTAGGCGACAGTGACCCTTTGGTGCGCGCCTTTCCAGGGCCACGGGGAGGCCAAAACCAAGGCGCGCACGCATGTGCCGAGGAGACGCCCGTGGATGCCCGTGAGCCAGCACCAAAGGTCACTATGGCGAAGGGTCACTCTTACGCGTAGTCTCAGGACGGGCGTGTCCCCTCTACAGGCGGATTTTGGGCGAAAAGTCAAAACATATAAAACATATTCTCCAATGGTCCAAAAGTGCACCACAAATCGTCCCCCCGCTTATCTTTCCACTATTTCTGGATCTTCCTCCCGCAGAGGGATGGGCCCGACTTCCGCGTAGCCCACTGGGGACGCCGACGCCGACGACGGCCTCGACGGGCGCGTGGGCGCACCCCGGGCCGTCTTCACTTCATCAGGTTCCCGAGCTTTTTCTCTCGTTTTTTCTTCACTCTCTTCTGATGCCCTCCTTGACTTCTTCCTTCTCTCTTGTCCTCTCTCTCTCTCTCGCTCTCTCTCTCTCTCTCTCCCACTTTCTCTCGGGAGCCTTATGAAGTGAAGTCGCCCACCCCGCCCCGCGGAGGCCTCCGCAGGCCCTGCGGGTCGGCGCCCCGCTGCCCGGCCAGCTGCCCCTCCAGCGCGCGCGCCAGCGCCGCCCGCGGCCAGCGCTCCTGCCGCCGCGGGGGAGGAAGGGAGGAGGGGAGGAGGAGGAGGAGGAGGAGGAGAGGAGGAGGAGGAGGAGGAGGAGGAGGAGGAGGAGGAGGAGGAGGAGGAGGAGGAGGAGGAGGAGGAGGAGGAGGAGAGGAGGAGGAGGAGGAGGAGGAGGAGGAGGAGGAGGAGGAGGAGGAGGAGGAGGAGGAGGAGGAGGAGGAGGAGGGGGGGAGGCGGCCGCCGCCGCCGCCGAGACTCGGCGGCGCGCCCGGGCGGGGGGGAGGAGCGGGGAGGGGCGGGGGGCTTCCCTGGGATCTCGTCTTCCCTTCGGCGCGCCCGGGGGGGGGGGCGGGGAGGGGCGGGGGGCTTCCCTGCGATCTCGACGTTGCAATGCTTTGTTGTGGTTGATGGCGACGCGGTGCCTGTGCCGTAGACGCCATCGGCCGGAGGCCGAGAAAGTGGTTGGAGGTGTAGAACATGCCGGCCAGACGTCGCCTTAAGCCACACCCGGCCAGAAGCTTTCCCAGCGGGCGGTTTCTCGCCCGGTCTCGGGGGCACGGGGCCCTCGGGTATCGCTCCAGCTCGAGAGAGAGGCTGCGCAGAGAGATGGGGCCCAGGGCTCCGGAGACTCGGCGGCGTGCCCGGGGGGGGAGTGAGACGGGGCGGGGCTCGACTGCCCGCAAGAGTGACCCTGGGTAAGAGTGGCCTTTGGTGCGGGGGCCGCGGGGGGACCAGGCCTGGGCGCGCAAGCAGCTGCTGCTGCTGCCCCGTTTTCAGCCGTCTGGGGGCCCATCTGTGCCCGCACCAAAGGTCACTCTGGCGACAGGTCACACTTACGTCCAGTCGAGAGGCTTCCCTGCGATCTTGACGTTGCATTTTTTTCCCAACGGGCGGTTTCGCCCAGTTTCGGGGCACGAGACCCTCACGCATCGATCCAGCTCGAAAGGTCGCGCAGAGAGATGGGGTCGAGGGCTCTGGAAATGATTCTTCGCGATGCTTCATTTTTCCGGGACGTCGGATCTCAAGGTTATCAGAAGGCTCGGAAGGCCTCGTGCCTCCTGAGAGGTTTCGGATATAAGCCTTCCCCGAAGAGGCGCGGACGAGCCTTCAGAAGCCCTGGTTGACCCAAAAGGGGGGTCCAGCTGCAAGGGGGTGGTGCAATAGACTTCGGGCAATTGTATTGCAGATGCAATGCGCCAGAGCATCGTGTCGCATGGAATTTCAACTCGGGTAGCTCATGCAGAAGTGGAGTACTACATGTGCGCCCCAGAGTGTGCTGCACGCCCCACATCTGTTGCACCCCCCACAAGCCGATTGCACCAGATCTGTGGCACCACCCCCTTGTAGCTGCACCCCCACTGGCGTCAACCAGAGCCCCCCCTTCGCGGAGTTCTCTGAACTCCCTAAGCCACTCGGGGAATGTGTGACCCACTTATGGCCAGGATGGGCCAGATATAATCCCCATCATCCTAGAACCCCCCACGGTCATCCCAGCAAACATGTTTTTTTGATTGCGGCCGCGCGACAACGGTCTGGCGGCGAGAGCAGTGTCCGGGGCAGCGGCGCAGTGCGAATTAGCGAACGCAGCAGCCAGGATGACAAGCCGCGACGCGCCTGCACGCAGGTTTGCATATGCACATGCGCAGTACAAAATGAACTAATTCAATCCAGCAGACACGATCGCATCGTGCAAAAATCAGGCCGGGAGGCCTTTGGCCTACTAATTCGGCCTGGGCGGGGGGGCCCTCGCTGGGCTTCCCCCCTCGGGGCGCGCCGCCGCGAGCAACGGGGGCGGCCCCTCGGGGGTCCCTCGGCGGAGGCGGAGGCGGAGGCGGAGGCGGAGGCGGAGGAGGAGGATGAGGATGAGGAGGAGGAGGAGGAGGAGGAGGAGGAGGAGGAGGAGGAGGAGGAGGGGAGGGAGGAGGAGGGGGAGGCGGAGGAGGAGGAGGAGGAGGAGGAGGAGGAGGAGGAGGAGTCGGAGGAAAAAGGAGGAGGAGGAGGAGGAGGAGGAGGAGGAGGAGGAGGAGGAGGAGGAGGAGGAGGAGGGGGCTCTCGGCGGCTCCTTCGGGGGGTCCTTCGGGGGCCCCTCGGTGGGCCCCTCGGCGGGGCCCCCGGCGGCGGCCCCCGGCAGCGGCGCGGAAGGCTGCGGCGGCGTGGCCATCGTGGTCGTCGTCGTCGTCGGTCGCCGCCAGTCGCCGCCGTGGTCGTCGTCGTCGTCGTCGTCGTCGTCGTCGTCGTCGTCGTCGCCGTCGTGGTCGCCGCCGTCGTCGTCGTCGTCGTCGTCGGTCGCCTTGTCGTCGCTCGGGCGCGTTCTTCGTGCGCGCTGGGCCTCCCCCCCGCCACACATCAAATGGGTCCCCACTTTCTGCTTCTGCTCCGAGGGTCATCTCAATCACGTGGCTGCCGTCACTTTTGGGGTCCTGAAGCCAGAATCGTGCGGAAGTGTCGAATAGGAACCTCTCCCGCGTACTCAGACTAGATCAGAGGCCTCAGCTGGTAGTGCATGTCCTGACCTCCACAAGTGTGCCTTCGGCGTGGAGTGATTTGATGGTTAACTTCTCATCCCTAGCCTCAGCTCCATATCGCAAGACTCCAACAGTGAGCGGATGACAACAACGAGCAATGATGTGCCGAGACTGAGGGCACGCTGTGCGGCGACAGGGGTGGCTCAAGCCAAGCCCTGTCGCACAGCATAAAAAGTCCAGCATCGGCTCTCTGAGCCCCTGGACGAGGCAGGCAGAGCTGATGATGTAGCGAGGCATGCGAACCTTCCCAAGACACGCGCGGCTACTGACGGCCGAAGCTTTCGCCACTTGTGAGAGAAGGGCGTGAAAGAGCATCGCGCACGCCCTCTCTGCTTGATCTGGGCTTGCACGGGATCGGAAAGAGCGCTTCTATGGAGCGGACGTTTGAGCATGGCCACAGGTGTTTGGCGGCCGTTTACGCGGCAGCGGTTTTGGCATGGGGGATCATCATGCATAGGTGTTGGAGCAAACTGGAGGGCGAGGCGCGTTAAGACAGCCTCCGTAAAGGGGAGAGCGGCAGAGGGGAAAGAGGGGAAAGAGGAGAGAGGAAGACTGAGAGAGAGTGCATTGGCGAAAGATACAAGGACGGGGTGAATCAAAGTGGAAAGGGCACTTCACATATTATGTAGCCAGCGGGCGTACTCCGTGCCGGAGGCTGGAGCAAAGGACACTGGAAGCTCTGGAAGGCATCTTGCCGCTTGGGACTCTTTGCGTCAACTTCCGGGCCCTCTTGGCACGCTCTGGGGCCCTCTTGAGCCGTCCTGGGGCCGTCCTGGACCGTCTTGAGGGGCTTGGGCCGGCTTGAGGCGCTCTTGGGGCCCTCCTGGGAACCTCCTGTGGCCTCCGTGGGGCTCTTCTCGGAGCCGCTTGGGGCTCTGTGGGGCCCTCCTGGTGCTGTCTCTGGGCCCTCCTGGGCCATCTTGACGCGCTCTTGGGCCGTTTTGAAACCCTCTTGGGGGCCTCTAGGAACCTTTTGGGGCGATCCCGCAGGCATCCAGGGCTGTCTGCGGCCGTTTGTGGGCCGCGAAGGCGAGAACCCCCAAAAAACCCATCAAAAACCTTAGGAATATCAGTGAGTTGTCCCTCCGAGTACCTCTTGGCAGTCCTCATGGGGGCCTCTTGGGCCGTCTGGGGGGCCTCTTGAGGCCGTCGTGGGCCCATCGTCGCCCCTCGTGGAGCGCTCTTGAGCCGCCTTGGGACCTCTTGGGCCTCTTTCGGCCGTCTTGGAGCTATCTTGAGCCGTCTTGGGGGCATCTTCGGCCGAAGAAGCAGCCAACATGGCCCCCTGAGAGGCGTGTTAGAAACCTGGGCTAGCACGGGAACGGAAAGAGTGGGTCCGTGGAGCGGACATTTCACATGGTCTTGGGGGTTCGACGGCCGTTTACGCGGCAGCGATTTGGACATAGGGATTGCCATGCATGCTTGTTGGAGCAATCCGGAGCGCGACTCACGGTTGGACGGCCGCCGCGGTGATCGGACTTGTTACGTCACCGTCCGCTCCGAGGAGCCTTGGCAGTCAAAGCATTTGACGGCACGATTCGCTCGGGTGGGGCCTCGTAAGAGGCTCTTGGAGGCATCTCGGAGTGCCTCTTGGAGGCCTATTGGTGGTCTTTGGGGCCGTTTGGGGGCCTTCTGGGGCCCTCTTGCACCGTCTTGAGGGGCTTGGGCCGGCTTGGGGCGCTCTCGGGGCTCTCTTGTGAGCAGCCTGTGGCTCCCTTGGGGCTCTCCTGGGAGGCTCTTGGGCCTCTGTGGGGCCCTCCTTGGCCCTCTTGCACCGTCTTGGGGGGCTTGGGCTGGCTTGGGGCGCTCTCGGGGCTCTCTCGTGAGCAGCCTGTGGCTCCCTTGGGGCTCTTCTAGGAGGCTCTCGGGCCTCTGTGGGGCCCTCCTTGGCTCGTCTTGGGGCTCTCCTGGGCCGTCTTGAGGCGCTCGAGGACCGTTTGGGAGCCTCTGGGGACGGTTTGGGGCGACCTCGGAGGCCCGCAGGGCCATGTTTCGCCGCTTTTGTCCTGAGAAAGCGAGAACCCCAAAATCATCCAAACACTGTTGGGGAATCAATGGTTTTTGCCTCCAGCGTCCTTCTTGGAAACCCTCGTGGGACTCTTGGGCCTTGGACCGTCGTGGGCCCATCGTCGCCCCTCGTGGAGCGCTCTTGGGCCGCCTTGGGGCCTCTTGGGCCTCTTGGGCCTCTCTTGGGCTATCTTGAGCCGTCTTGGGGGCATCTTCGGCCGAAGAAGCAGCCAACATGGCCCCCTGAGAGGCGTGTTAGAAACCTGGGCCCGCACGGGAACGGAAAGAGCGGGTCCGTGGAGCGGACATTTCACACGGTCTCGGGGGTTCGGCGGCCGTTTACGCGGCAGCGATTTGGACATAGGGATTGCCATGCATGCTTGTTGGAGCAAACTAGGGTGCGAGTCACGGTAAGACGGCCGCCGTGGTGATCTGAGGTGTTATGTCACCGTCCGCTCCGAGGAGCCTTGGCAGTCAAAGCATTT